ATCACAACTCACTAGAAAGCTGGCCAATCACAGCACACCTCGCTTTTCAGACCGATGAGCTTTGTAAAAATCAACGCGTTTCAGAAAGGCGGGGCATAGAGGAGAAACAATAATGTACAGTATGTGGAAAATAATGTGTTTTTTGAACCTTAAACCGCATAAACACATTTCATTACACCAAATACACAAAATAATGTTCTTTTTAGCAACATCATATGACCCCTTTAAGTAAAATTTAACATGTTTATAAGGCCAATAAGTATTTTGTGTTCAAATGGTTTCAGTTGTTACTTCTTGATAAATTTCGTATTAAGTACCAATTTTAGTACCAAATTTTAGTAAGTTATTGATGATTCATGATTTAAAATTAAGTGTGTTTAAGATGAATATTTATGATTAAGTATCTGTATAACTGTGTGTGTGTGTATATATATATATATATAATTTAATCATAACATGTTTGTAAGACCTCCAAGAGCATGTGATATTTTTGTGTACATTTGGTTTTTGTTGTTCCTATGTTTTTTGGTAATTTTGACATATTTTAGTACAAAAGTTATTGATGAATTATCATGAAAATGTTAGATGCAAATATCACAAAGAAATTTGTGTCTCAAGATGAGTTTAAAATGGGATCATCCAAATCTCTATATAGCTTACCTCACATTTGAGTAAAGGTGGAAAAAGTCCTTACATCAAAGAGACACTGCATCGTGTTGTTTTATTAAGTCATTCTGGCTGTCAGACACATTTATGTGCTACAAACAACAGTGCAGTGAGTTTGTTTGGTTTTATAGTTTGATGATGAACAGATGAAGAAGAACAAGCCCTTTAATTCCTATTGGTCTAAATGATCACAGGAGATATTTTCAGTGTGGTCTTGAGTCCAGATACATGCTTTGTGTTCACCTCATGTAAAATTAATGCCATTCCTTTGGTGTGTTTTTCTCTTTAATTTTATGGAAGTTTGAGTCTTTGTGAAGTGAGATATCATGATTGTTAATTGTGTGTCTCTGCCTTTTAGATCTACACAGATTTTGATGAAATCAGGCAAGAAATTGAAAATGAAACCGAAAGAATTTCTGGAAATAACAAGGTAAGGAAGAGTCCTTAAATGAACTAAATCAGATGATGGTTTATTTTTTAAACCTGTATGTGTGCTACCGTTTACAAATAATGGGGTCGGTAAGATTTTTTTTACAATGATGCATTAAATTGATAAAAATATAAATTAAAGGGGTGGTTCATTGCGATTTTACTTTTTTAAAGTTAGTTATTGTGTAATGTTGCTGTTTGAGCATAAACAATATCTGCAAAGTTACAAAGCTGAAAGTTCAATGCAAACGGAGATATCGTCTTTTAAAATTCTGGTAGTTTAATGCCTACAAAAACGGCTGGTAGGGACTACAACCAGCTACTTCCTGGGTTTGTGACATAACAAACCCAGATAAACCCTGCCCTCGGGAAAAAGCAGCAAAGGGGGCGAGGCCATGCTGCACTGCTTTAGAGAATAGGAAGAGAAAACTAGAGGTGCACGTAAAAATATATTTATTTATGAATCTCGACTCTGTCTTCTAATGATTCTAATGGATTCACAAGTTTCAAAATCAA